AAAAAAAAAAAAAAAGAGAATAGGGCTGGGCGTAGTGGCTCCTGCCTGTAATCCTAGTAGTCTGGGAGGCCAAGGCAGGTGGTTTGCTTGAGATCAGGAGTACGAGACCAGCCTGAGCAAGAGCGAGACCCCATCTCTACTAAAAAAAAAAAAAACTAGCTGGATGTTCTGGCCAGCGCTTGTAGTCCCAGCTACTGGGGAGGCTAAAAGATTTCTCAAACAGGGTGGTGCCTGTGACTCAGTGAGCAGGGTGCCTCCCCATATACCGAGGGTGGCAGGTTTAAACCTGGCCCCGGCCAAACTGCAGCAACAAATAAAATAGCTGGGTGTTGTGGTGGGCACCTGTAGTCCCAGCTACTTGGGAGGCTGAGGCAAGGGAATCGCCTAAGCCCAGGAGTTGGAGGTTGCCTTTAGCTGTGACACCACGGTACTCTACCGAGGGCGATAAAATGAGACTCTGTCTCTAAAAAACAAAGACTACTCAGACCCAGGAGTTTGAGGTTGTTGGAAGCTGTGATGCCACAGAGTGAGAGTCTGTCTGTTAAGAAAAAGAAAAAACTAATAATAATGTTGATTAAGAAATTGGAACCCTTATACATTGCTGGGGGAAATGTAAAATGGTGCAGCAGATTTGGGAAACAGACTCATTTTCTCAAAAATTTAAACATAGAGTTGTCATTGGATTTAGCAATTCTATTTCTAGGTCTATAACCATCATTTGACAATAAAAAGGAAATGAGGGGCTGATAGATAACATATGGATGACCTTGAAAACTTGTTACATGTAACATACACTTAAGTAAAAGGAGCCAGTCATAAAATATCACAAATTGTATGATTACATTTATATGATCCAGAATAAATAGAAGAATTAGTGGTTGTCTAAAGCTGTAAGTGGAATGAAGAGTAACTGTTAATGGGTTTTGTTAATTAGTTTCTTCTCAGGGTGATGAGAATGTCATACAGTTAGATGGTAGTGGTGGTTGCACAATTAAAAATATACTCAAATCCATTGACTTGAATATTCTCAATGTATTGTATATGACTTATATCCCAATAAAGCTAGTTTTTTAAAAAAACTAAAATATAGGACTGGGGATACACAGACCCCAGGAGATACCCTGGAACTTCCTCAAAAAAATCTTTCTACAATGTCAGGGTATTGAAGTGTTTTTCAGATGTGTCATGGTTTGACAGAGGACTCTCCAAAAACTTAATTACTAATAATGTGGATATTTATTGGGAAAAGAAGAAATAGAAGTTTAAGGAACACATTGATGCATGTACCAAATAGAAGAGGGAAGATTTTAGGCAACTTAAGGATGAAAATTTTGTGACTACCTTAAAATTCATGTGGAAAGAAAAAAAAATCATTAAGAAAAATCATCAGTGTAATTGGTTCTCCTCAGTGACAGGAAAAAAGAAAGAGAATTTGAAGAATACATGAGAGACAAATCCATCACAACCAAAGCTGACTTCAGGACACTTTTGAAAGACCAAATTTATAACATATTTCATTTAATGAAAGCTTATGGAAGATGCTGGGATTGGCAAACTGAAGTTGACTTCATCAACAGAGCTAAGAAGCTAATCTAAGAATCTGTCCTGCACCCGAAAGATGTAGACAGAACTTTGCAGAATGATAAATGGTATCCAGGACTGGACTATGTGCCAGAAGAGAGGCAGAAATGGATGGTGGCATAAGCTGATGACTTAGATTGCCAGGGTCCACCCCCACCTACCAGAGCCTACCAGATTAATGCTGAATACTTTTCCATGAGGGTAGTCCTCTAATTCAAAATGCTTGGATGAGCCAATTTTCAGATTTTTAAAAAATTATTTTTATTAAATCATAACTTTGTACATTGATGCATTTATGGGGTACAGGGTACTGCTTCGATATACAATATGAAATGCTTACATTGAACTAAGTAACACATCAATCACCATTATATTCATTTCTTAATAGTTTTGAAATGTACCATTGCATCATGCATATTAGTTGAGGTCCTCCCAAATACGCTCCCTCCTCCCCTCCCTTCTCCTCTTCTTGTGTACTTTCTGGACTATAGTTACGTTTTGCTATTCATATGAGTGTGTAGGTGGTTATATATTGATTTTATAGTAATATTGAGTACATTGGATACTTTTTTTCCATTCTTGAGATACTTTACTAAGAAGAATATGTTCCAGCTACATCCAGGTTAACATAAAAGATGTGAAGTCTCTGGCTCGGTGCCTGTGGTTCAAGTGGCTAAGGCACCAGCCACATACACCTAAGGTGGTGGGTTCGAATCCCCAGCCCGGGCCCGCCAAACAACAATGATGGCTGCAACCAAAAA